ACTTTGGAGGTTGCTTCTTGATCTTCGTCTTCCCTTTGACAGTCACTTTGGTGAACTTGTGGGAGACGTCCTCCAGCAATGAGTCGTCAGAGTCGGAGTCCGAGTTCACATCCGCAGCTGCCACTTTATCCGCGTGAACTGGTCGGGCTTTGATGGAAAGAAACATAGACAAACAAGTGCGAGGACCAAAGGCTTTGGTCGTTGCCTGTTTCAACATCCCTGGAATCTCAACAGGGCAATATTTGGCCTGAGTCAGTTCCACAAAGTCGTTATGCTTTGAGATCATGGTGAGATTCTCATCCTTCACCGGACCCACGGCCTTAACGCTGATTGTCCCATTCTGAGCAGCCTTCCAATCGCTAATGTAGTGTGTGACCGCGCACCATGGAAAATCTTTCTTAGGGGTAGACGGGTGCAGCCATAAGCGTAGTTCTCGATCCGCTCGCTTAGCGTCCCTCGATCTGACATAAACGTGCCACATCATGCATCCAGGCGATCGTTCATTCCACTTACTGCGGCAGTTGTAGGGAATGTTTACCCATTTGTACCGCAAGCCGATAACCGTCTTCCAGTCAAAGTGTTGCATGAGTTCTTTCTCCATAGCCCTGATGTTAATTTCCTGTGGATAGAAGCACAACGCCCCAATCTTTTCGATATCGCCAAACTGTAGAACCGATTCATAGCATCCCGCTCCAAACCCTTGCGGACGCAATTCGCCGTGTAGGTATTGGCGAATCGTTCCTGCCGCCACCTCGACCTCAAAACCCACCCTCATCCTTGTACGAAGCTTCTTTTCGCCTGGCTTATTAGAAGTCAAGGCATATGACATGTTGCCAAAAGACATGTCCAGATACTTGGACAGGCTCCGGTAATCGGGAATCAACCGCCAAAGATCCGCTTCCGTTCGGATCCACTGCTTAGACTTCTTGTAAGCGCTTTCAGACAAGGGAAGAAAGCGAATCGTCTCCTCCGCGTTCTTTAGGACGTCTGCCAGCGTATCCAGAATATGGTTCAAGATAATAGAGGCATGGGTCGTATTCACCCCTTGTTGACCTTGATAGCTGTAAGCCATTCCCAGTTCAACCAGAATAGCCTGACCGACCATGCCGTCCAAGTTGACTTGTCGCAGCCCATCTAGGCGTTCTTCCAATGTCAAGCTGCGTTGTAGTCTGCGTTTGGCCTTAGAGCTTTGCTTTGTGGAAGTGGTGTCCGTTTTTTGTGCGGTTGGTGTGGTTGATTGTGAAGCAGACGTTGAATGTGTACGTTTAGCACCGGGTTCACTCAAAGAGCTCCCGTCCACATCCATTTCTGTAGACTGATCGACCACCAAAACCCTGTGGGACCGTCCCTTCTTCCTCGGCGGGGATGCCAATTCAGGATCCTTGTCTTCACCAGTAACACCGGTCAGTTCGGAAACTACCTCATCCGTATTCAGGCCCATGTAGTTGGTGTCTTCTTCGTTTTCAGTATCCGTAGTCTTGTAAGAATTTTCCACGAGAATGACAGAATCCTTGGTCGATTCGTCAGTATCCTCGTCGTCCTCCTCCACCTCGTCCTTGTCATCATTGTCGTCGTGGATGCGATCGTCGCCAGAATCAAATTCGCCGTCTATGTCCATGTCGTGCCTTCTGTTGTTGGAGTTGTCATCAACTGTCTTGTCAGAGTCCCACCCATCGGGTTGGCCGAACTTATTGACAAGGCCAGTATCCTCGTCGCCCATCGGGTCGTCTTCCTCCTCAGAATCTTCGTAATCTGGATCAAATATCTTTTTGACCCCCTTGTGGATGTCCACCTTACTAGTTTCGTCATTGGGAAATCCCTCAATCACCTTCAATTTTATTTCTTGAATGCAAGGGATTGGGGATTCCTCGAGAAATTCATCAAAAAGCATTGTCCATGGGTGATCGAATATGGAAGCGCACATCAGCCAAAACTGCACCAGAGGAGTCTCATTTCGTAGGGCGGGATTCGACCGATTGTCCCTCAAAAAATAAAGATCTTCTTGTGGCACTTTGGAATCGTTCACAAGGCCAACATCAAAAAAGGAAAACGGAATCTGCTGGGCGACTTGCAATGCAATTGCTTTCACTCCCCATGTGTATTCTGTATTTTTTTCCACCTTTCCCAAAGCGTCATTGTCAAAAAGCGAAATTAGGAATTTCAACACTCGCCGCCAATCGTTCGCATATTGAGCGAATAGCATGTTAACCCTGACTTCAACTGAATAATTAGCGTAGAGGTCCTTAAACTGACTGTCAAACCTTGGGAGCGCTTGGGTCCACCAATCGTTATGATTTTCCATCCATTGATTGAAAATGGAGTTGCCAAACGAAATCTTAGTTGAATTATAGTCGTAGCCGATAGCAATCAAGTCGTGAGTCCATAACCCAAAGTCGATCAGTGGTGGAAGAGATGCGATCAGCTCTTGAATCTCCGACTCATTGTTGACACTAGGATCCCTATCCTTAGGTTGACGTAAATCAACTGCAGATGCATTTTCCAATCTTTT